CGAGTTATGTTGAGGTGGTTGCATTTTCCTCGTGCGCGAAAGAGCGCGGAAGCTGCGCGAAAGCGGCGCGGGAGGGGTTGTTTCTGGTAGAAGGAATATCGGATAACACCCATATAGGAAGATCTTGAGAAATTTTCGATCAATGGTACGATCTCGATCTTGTTTGTTTGGGTTTCCGTGTACCAGTAGGATTCTGGGCTTTGGATGTTGGGAGCTTCCGGATGTTGCTTGCGTGCTGTGCGCCAGCAAGTCTGCCCAGCGAGGGTTCTGCTTGCTCTCTACGCGACAGGCTTCACCCAAGAGTTCCAAAGATAGGCGGACATGAGTACAGGCTGGCATCTCTGTGGCATAACGCTTCGTGCAAAGCTACAATTTCGTGGTCTAAGTGCCATCTTGCCAGTTTTTTCGTGGAATCTGCTTCGCTGCGAATCGCAAAGCTTGCATCCCCAGCTTCCTGTGCTGCAGCTTGGGCTTGTTGATTGTGCCTCCATGTCACCATAGGCAAACGTCGAGCAGGACGTCAGGTTCACCGTCAGATGTCTGGCAGCTTCGCTTCAAGAGAAGAGCTTCAACTGCCTTTTGGTCTTTGTGGCTGAAGCTGGTGACACTCGGGGATGGGCTTTGATTCTTGACGTGAGCATGCTCTAGTGCTGCAGTGTCTGAGCAGGCGTAAAGACCCCATAAGACCCCTACCTCCAAACCATTCAGTGATGTGCCTTCAAGTGTTGGCCTTGCAGCGATGTGATTGTGAACTGCAGATTCTGGCAGCACCCGCTTTAACTTTGCTGATTGGAGAGTGTTTGAGAAGCACTCTAGCCTTCTAGTCTTGTGAGTTTGGTCATCTGCACACCTGCCGTCTCCGGTTCCATGTATGACAAGTCCAGAACATGAGAAAGTTGGGGTCGTCCGATGAAAACTCAGAGCCGCAACAAGAACATCATAATATCATCATATCATGACAAAGCCGTCACGAAAAATCGTCACGGTAGCACTGCATAGTAGCCGGCAGCCGCAGCTGCAATTGCGGCTGCAGGAGGAGGAGAGGAGTAGTAGTAGTAGTAGTAGTAGTGGTGGTGGTGGTGGTGGTGGTGGTGGTGGTAGTGGTAGTGGTAGTGGTAGTGGTAGTGGTAGTGGTAGTGATAGTGGTCGTGGTAGTGGTAGTGGTAGTGGTAGTGGTAGTGGTACCAGCAGTAGTAGTAGTAGTAGTAGTAGTAGTAGTAGTAGTGGTAGTAGTAGTAGTAGTAGTAGTAGTAGCAGCAGTAGCAGTACCAATACTACGACGACGACTGCTACTGCCTGTCGTATTCTTGATCATGGTTTATGGTGCTGGTCGTGGTCGTGGGGGGGGGGGGTGGGGGCGGGGGCAGTAGTATTCGTGATCATGCTGGTTGTCCGCCCCTCCACGGGTGAAAATCCTGGTCTTCCCAAGAACAACAGTAGCAGAAGCCCACATGTTGTATTGGTCATCCTGTCCGCGAGAAATTTAATTAAACCCCAGTAGTAGTAGTTGTGCTTCTCAGCCCCTCCGCCAACAAAATAAAGTGCAAATGGTATCAGTCCCAATCGTGCTAGCAGCTCGCCAGTCCTCTGGAAGTGATGCTGACTTTACGGCAGCAAAAAACCGTAGCAGAGGCCCACATGGTGTGTGTTTGTCATCCTGTCTGAGTGATAATGGTCCGAGACCGGTAGTAGTGGTCTCCCCACCACTCGAAAGAAAAACGGGAGAAAACATACTAGGTGTTCCTGTCGGTTCTCGTGGTAGCTGTCGTCGCAGCACTGTCCTAGTCCGAGTCATGCCGCTTTCACCTCCCCCCAGTAATGCTCGTGCTTCTTTCATCGCAGAGGTAGACCTCCCCCCTGGCCCAAAAAGCAACGGCTTCGTGTGCACCCTCCTCGTTCCCTCTCTATCTCTCGTTGCAAGATGGAAGCGCAATCCGCATAGTGTACAGAAGGATGCTATGCTGCTTAGTGGCTTAGTGCTAGAATTGCTTCCGATCTGCAGATCGCCGCAAAAAAGATGGACCTGAGCTTCACCGAAGATTGGCTCAGCCGCTGGAAAGATGCGAGCCTCGAGTCCGAGGAGCGCGTCTGCCATGTGAGTGTAGCGGATCTAGCCCTGGTCGGTATCTGCTGTAAACGATGATGTTAGTTCTGGTCGCAGCAGCGTGAAAGTCTAAGACTCGAGGACCGCGAGAAGAAGCTGGCTGAAATCGCCGCCGAAGTGGAGCACTCCTTGGAGCCAGCAGGAATCACTGCCATCGAGGTGCCCCGCTGTGATAAGGTAGCCGGGAAGCTGCATCTAAAAAAGGCATTCCAAGGCCTGTTGAAAAGCAACTAGGCTGCTAGGCTGCTCATCCGCAGGACAAATTGCAAGAAGGCGTACCCGAAGCCATCGTCTCCATCAAGGCTGGGACGCCAGCCTTTCTGAATCTGGTGCGAGAGCTAGCTGAGGCTAGCTGCTGGCAGCAAAAAAACGTTGGATTGTTCGACTGCTGGTGCATACTGAGAGGCAGCATCAATCCGATTCTGGGTTCTGACCGGGGACAAGACGGAAACGGCGGCTCACAACTTAGACCAGCATGGTCTTCTAAGTTACTCGTCCGCTCTTGGCAGCTTGGCTCGGGACTCTGAGGTGGAAATTGCAAAATCTTGTCGCCTCTTCACCCCGAGCATGACTCTTGCTTATTTGGCGCGGCTCTTGGAAAGCGTGGGCTGTTTTGCCACATGCCTTCTAGCCACAGCCACAATGCCATCGTTGAGGTGAACTGTAGCAGCGAGCAGCAAGCATTGAGCTTGCTGGAGGCTTCCTGTTCGACGTTGAGGCATGCCGTTTACAATCGCGGCTCATCCCTTCAGGAAGCCAAGACAAAGTTGAAAGACTTGACTGATGGAGGGCTCGTGATCGATGGTCCGTCGCAGCAGTCGTTCACCATGTGCAGAGCACTTGTAGCTAGTGCTTGTTGCGAGGTACCTTTGTTCAGCAGGTTCTGAGTTCTGCCAATGGCCGGCCGATGTTGCAAGCCCGCCTAGAATTCTGTATTTAGACACGTGCTGCCGATGCCGACATTCGTCGTGACTTCATCCCGTTACCGCATGTGACCGCCAGGTATGAGCTTGCCATGTCCAGCACTTGTTGCGCTCGTGCCCGAGCTTCACATGCAGAAACCGGCAGTACTCGTCGGCTTTGGACAGGGTTTGAGGCCCAGCAACGTTCGGACTCGCTGCACAGGTGTGTTGCCGTCTGTCTCCACAGCAGAAGCGCCGTCTGGTGGGATCCCTTGCGCGAGCTGTGTTTTCGTCCCAGCCGTGCATGACATTGCGTGCAAGGTGGAGTTAGTGAAGGACATGAACAAGAGCCTTGGTGCAGTGTGTATTGACAAGCTGCAATAAAATTACGTGGCAGTGATGAGCAGCAACCGAAAGTAATTGATGGGAATCTCTGCTTCAGGACAGGAATAACCTTGGCAGTCGGCGACGGGGCCAATGATGTGCCGATGATTCAGGGTGCCCATGTCGGCATAGGCGGGGTGTTATTTCAATCCTTCATTTCGTGACAGAAACAGTAGCAGTTCAAACGTTGCGTATCCACTGAGGCATCCGTGGCAAAGAAGGCAATCAGGCCGTGCAGGCCACTGAATTTTGCAAGTCTTTGTGTCTCCATGCCTCAGTGATACGACAAGTCTGACCCAAGAAATCAAAGCACTACGAGATGCCTTCCCAGATCGTTCGAATGTGACGTTTGGAAATTCCGAAACGTGCATCGGTTCTTTCAGCCCAGCCTGGTGCCAGAAATGGTGGTGTAAGCAGTGGCAAGTGGCAGCCCACGCCTTCGTACAATTTTGCTACAATTCTTGGGCTAGCCCCGTGTCACCGTTCATCACCAATGAGTTCTCTTTCTGGGCCAAAAACTCATTTGGCCGCTTGGCTCAGCTTCTGCGGGTCTGCGCATGATCTGAGGAATATAAAGTAACAGCAAATTCGTTTCTTGCCTTTCCCAGTTCATCCCAACAGTCACGAATGAATTTTCCGGTCCGGACCTGCTAAGCATCGTTCATAATCCTTCAATTTTAGGTAGGTACGTCGGTAGGTAGGCCGGTTCCTAGGTGGGTAAGGCAATTCTGCGGGTTAGCCGGTCCTTCCCAAGAATCAGAGCGAGCAACGATTGTTGCTTCTGTCCAAAAACTTATTTAGCTGCTTGGCTCTTCTGCTCCCGGCCTGACATCCTGTTTCTGGGCGGGGTCAGCGCATAATTTGCCTGGTGCCAGAAATAGTGGTGCAAGCAGTGGCAAGAGGCGTTTAGTGCAAGTGTGCAGCAATTCTACGGGCTTGCTTGGCTGAGCTTCTGCTGGCTACCTGACATCCTTCTTCCGGGCGGGGTCATTGCCTGAGCTTGTGTTAGGGTGAATTCGTTTGTTGCCTTTCCCCAATTTCCCCACCAATGAATTTTCCGGACCTGCTAAACATCATACATAATCCCTTAACCCGAGCACGATTAACCATATCGAAACCTTGAGCCGCATGAGTCACAGGGCTCCAGAAACCCATCGACATCCCGAAGTAAAGTCTCGATCGCATTGAAAACGCAATACCCAAACGCTTCTCACTGCCTGCGCAAGACTCACCAATGATTTTCCCTTTTGCCAAACTATTTTGTAGCTGATTGGCTCATCTTCTGCTGTTTTGCCTCTCTCACCCATGATTTTGATTGGGTTGCGTTTGGGAGTGTGCCGCACACATCGCATGCGTTTTGCATTGGGGAACTCTCCGGTGACAAGAGAAGACGGTGCGCTGTTTAAATATCGCTAGCGTTGGTGCGTTTTTTAGCAACTAAGGTTGAGGTTATGTGCCTGGGCACTAAGACTCGTTAGTTACGTCTCGTTTTCTTTCACTTCTAGGTCTGAGGTTTGTCATCGGGCGGGTGAAGGGTTTGCAAGCCATGTTGCTTCAGAACTTGCCGTGATTGTTTCTTTTCCTGTAGACATGCCCGGAAGGTTCTCATACAGTGCACCAACGCTACATAGGTCGCAGACCACCTGCACTGATATTAAAGCATTTGACGCGCTTAAAGTCAGAGGTCTTGGCCGCCGGACTTGTTCCACAGTGTTGCGCCGTTCAAGCGCAACATCGGTCAGACCCAAGATCCAGCATTCTGCAACTGCGGTGCCTCTGCCTGATTGCTTGCCCCTTCCTGACGCATCATAGCCGGTCGAACGGACCCTAAAAAGACCTAGCCGTCCCTGCGCTCCTCATCCGATCTCATTCCCACCCTACCCCAAACGCATGGTGGTGCATTGGTGCATGACTTTCGTTATGCGACCACCTCCTTTCTCAGAACCTGGCCCAACCTTACACCCGGTACCGCCTCGTAACCACACCTCCACCTTGAATCCGACATCCAAATATCCTGCGGCGGACACTTGGACCACCGCTCGACAACCTGACCATGCTCTTCCAGTTTGCCCGAGCGGCGTGACACAACGCTGAATCAGACGACGAACCAAAGAAATCGCTTTAGCCGCCCATTTTGAATCAACGTCGCTTCGGAAGCCTTCATGCGACAATCAAGTGCAGAAAGGTTGGTCACCGAGTGGCCATCATCGTCGTTGGATGCGCACAAAGGGCATCAACCCTGCGCGCAGGGGGCCGGATTGCAAATCTTGGCCTACCGAAGAAAGGTACCCCAATGTGCCAACCGCGACTTAGATTACAGGGCCACGGGACATGCTTGTACAACGGTGTCTACTTTGCTTGAAGCAAGAGAGTAGAACCAAGCAGCAAGACAGCGTCGTTGACTTGCAAATGTCGTTTCTCAGTAGCGAAAGCGTGCTGCTTTTCTCAGGGCAGTCTCGTTGGACAGGCCAGTGATGTGGCAATTTCGCAGTTTCGCTTCCTTGTCCCGCTGTTGTACTGCCACGGCACGGGCCTGAGCCGGCGCTGTGCGACCTAGGCTCGGTCAATGCAGCAAAGGCGTAGACATTCCCTTTTATAAAGCTAAATGTCTGGGACTCGCGAGCGGAGTTTCTAAGCCTCTGAGCATCTCTGCCGAGCTCAGCATAAGTCGCTGGGCCTCATGTGGGGTTCAGTTTTGCCTTTCCGTTTCGAGGAAGACGGGCATACCGCCGTGTGGCTACATTTATCTGCTACATGTTCTACAAGCACACCACTTTGGCTGTGGGCGACATTTTCTACGCACATCAGATTGGGCCAGCATCCCAGAACACGTCTTCTCAGGCCGTGCATGGTGTAGTCTGCTGATGTCTCCAGGTTTGTGCCTCAGATCGCCTATGCCGAGTGGCTGAACTCAGCGTCGGAGCCTCAAGCCTCGTCACTTGCGCGGGCACAGATATCTCTGTGGCTGATGTTGTCGAGATTTGCCTCCGTCATCTGCGGCTTGCCGGTGCTCGTGGTGGTGAGTCTGGACACTGACATACCAGACGAGGCAACTTCAGCTTGGGTTATCCTTCGTCTCCGGCGAACCAAGTTCGGATGTTTGTCAGGTGTCTGTTGCATCGCCGGACTTGTACATTGAAGGGCTACAGCAGCGGCCAAAGTGCAGTACAATTCCTGCAGCCTGTCTGGTTGGGACGGCCTCAGGCGAATGCGCTTCAATGCACCTTTGCTAGTGGCATGGGTGTTGAGGCCCTGAGCTCTGGACGTCAAGTTCATGGCATGTTTCAAAGCGTGTCGTCTTGCCAGTGCCTTCTACCACGGTGGGGTGTCCTGGCTCATTCCGAACTTGACCGTTGGATCTGTGGACGAGGAGGCTTGGATTGCTGTCAGCGCTAAGCAGTTTCCGAGCGGTTGCCTTGCCATGCAGGATGGATCGGAGTTCTGGTATTCGTCATGCATTTCATTTTGCCTGGTAGTGGCTCTGCACTCAGCGACGTGCGACGCAATTGCTTTTGGAGAACTCCGATTTCTTCAGAGCAGTTGCTATGCAGATTTTCGTCAACTTCCGGTTGTGGATGGTTGCCGAAAGTCCATTCTCAAAAGAGACGGTTGGGGCAGCGGCCTGAGCAGTGCGAAATCCAAACTTGTGTAGACTGCGCCATCCATTGACCATGAAAACGGCGCCGAGATCATCGTCTTCTCCTTCGTGTGTTTGGCAGTAACGTCAAGCCCGCGATGTTGCACTTTCCAGACATGGTTTAATCCTCCATTGTTGGAGTTTTAGCTGCCGCCTGTGCCAGGTTGCTCGTTTTAGCTGAAACTCCGTTGGGCACGGACATGATGCAACCGAAGATCGCAGGCAAACGTGCAAACATGACGTCCCGTTCTGAGTGAATCTTGCTCCTTGTGCAGGAGCCCTGAGTGCAATGTTCACAGAAGCTCGCTACACAGCGGTTCTGGTGAAGCGCTCAGATGGGTCCCTCGGTTTGAAGTTTCATTGCCTGCCGATTGCAGTTCCTTACTCCGTTACTGCTGCTCCTGGACCTGGTCTGAACCTCGGATTTCGGCTCCTGCAGTTGGCTCCTGGCGAAGAAGGTCCCCGATTGTACACTGTTGCCAGGCTGTTTACCAGGCAATCGCTTACTTCAACCCGTATCCGCTGACAGCTGCCAAGAGGCCGCGTTGCTCAAACTATTCATTGTGGGGACATGCAGGATGTTTTATTGTGTGGCTCAGGAAACTGTGGTGGAGCAAGCGACAAAAGAAGGAGAAGCTTTAGCGAAGCCTTGCAGGTGTTCTCGTGGGTTCTAGCTTGGCACATCATGATCTCCTGCAGTGGAATTGGTGGGCAGAGGTGGCATTCAGGCTCTCAGCCCCAATGACCTCAGGAAGCATCTCGGGGACTAGGTGACTAGAGCATGTGTACGCACATGTCCCCGGCAAATTGCCTTTGTGCAGGACGTCCCGGACGCAATCCAGAATGGACACCATTAGGCGCAGCCGGATGTTCTGCTGCTTCTTCCTTTGTGGTGTGTGCTCCCGGGCGCTTGTCTACACAGCAAGTCGGCAGGCTTTGTATGCAAGAGGCCTCCCCGCACATCGGATTCACGGAGAAATCTTGCGCTGAGAGCTGCATGCGTCATGCAGAACGATGGTCACACTTACTGTCCAGCCACACTCGAGCCTCTTCTACTTTATTTTCATTGAACTCTACACAACCTCTTATTTTTCTTGCGTGTGTGGGTATTCCTGCATGCGACTCACTCGTTTACGTCATTTTCTTATGGCCATGTGCCCACAACGATGGCATGCCCGGCCTTTTCTGTCTCACGCACATTCATTGTGCCATGCGAAGCATGGATTTTGTGATCAACGCTCCTTGCAGTGTTTGTGTGCGCCAGCCCGAAAGGGCTGCCACACTTTTACTTTAACCAGCATAGCACCGTCGATGTGAATACCGAGGCTTCCCATCCGTCAAACACAGCCCAGCTTCGTGACCGCATGAACGGTCAATTCAACATTTCGACCTGATCAACTCCAGAAGTGCTGTTCAGAGTTCATCTGTAGTGGCTATTGCAACGTACCCTTTGGCAAGACTGTGCAACAGAGCTGATCACAGGCTAAAGTGCCAAGCTGCGATCAGACATTTGCTGCACATTTTTGCCAGATGGGGAAGGAAGCCTTGCCCTACTCAGCAAGTTGCCCGCATTGCCTTTGTTTGGGGAAATTCCGGTAGTTAGCCGGAAGATCAAGATGTAGTCCACTTGTTCGGGTAGAATCAATTTCCCCACGCCTGGCTTTCATCTGAACGTGAGGTGGCTTGCGCAAATGTTGAACCAAAGCAAAAGACGAAGCTACTCTCCATGCTCCGCCGGTGCGGCCGATGGGAGCAAGTGTCGGGGTGAAGAATGGACGTGACTAGACTAAAGCAGGCCAAGCTTCATCTCCGCTGCTCGGTATGGTGTGCTCTCTTTGTTTGGGGTCGCCAGGCGCTCTGTGGTTTCTTCGGTGAAGTTGGAGCATGAAGGAGGATCGGTGAAACGGTTTAGCAAGCCGGATCTCTGGCCAGATCTGGGAGGCAACTTTCCATGTCGAGAAAGATTGCAATTCGCGCAGATGTTGGATGTGCTGCACACGCTGTGCCAAGATCAAGCAGAGCCAGCTTGAAGTAGATTGAGTTCAATGTTAGTTGTGCAGCGGGGTTTCTGTCGATGCAAGACAGCGGCAAGATCTGTGGAAAAGCTCGAAGCTACATCAGATAACGCAGGAGTGAGAAAGCTTACTTACGTTTCAGTCGCTACTTGCGTCTAGCTGTTCAGCTGTTCGGCCAGAATGTGTGCATGCACGGCTGCCTTGCCGAGACTGTTTCCGCGCTCCCCATTCTACACTGACAGCGGGCGTTTGAAGGAGTTGCAGGGAAGTGAGTCGAACTTTGTCAGAGCGCTAGTTGCCACGAACCCTGAAATAGATAAGCACGAAGTAAGACGCCTGCCGGAAGAGAACGAGCTGTTGCGTTAACCTGCTTGCCTGGGCTTGCAGGCGTGGGGCCAGAGCGGCTGCCGCGTGTCAACTTTGCGGGCGCAGTCTGCAAAGGCCAACCTGCAAGCTGGAATACGATGTGGTGCGGCGCTGGTGGCTCTATTTACTGCCCGCTGTGGTCGCCAAGCCGCAGGCATTGGATCGCTGTCGATTTTGCAGAGTCCGCTCCCGGCATTAAGAGCTCCTCGACCTAAGCAGCAAAGTAGTGATAGCGCGAAGCCCGCGAAGAAACCACCCGCGCAGTCGCACAGAGCAGTGTGTTCTGGCCATTGGGCTCACAACTCACAACCTGTGTGAAGACCTCATGACCTGACCATCGCTCCCGGCCTTACAGTAGGGGCTCCGACTCGGTCATCAGAACTCGAAGGGTCTGCCGGATAACTCTTCATGCATGAGTTTGGCAGGCAGCAGACCTTCCAGAACCGCCCTCAAGGCTTCGCAGCCTCCGTGCACCTCCGTGCTGGTTTTGGGCTTTGATGGCGTCATCTGTGCTGATGCAGAAGAGGTTGCTGCAGCAGCATGCCAGGCTGCCTTTAAGCTCTGGCCTGATGTCATGAGAAATGCAGAGGATGTTACACTGAACGAGGCTGGTGTGCGCCAGAGCTGGGTGGAGTACGACTGGCAAAGACTTTTGGAACACAAGGCATCTGCTGTGTTCACTGATGCACCGCCCTGGCTACTATACAAGGTGCAAAAACTCCGACCGGCGTGCCAAGCAGGATGGGAAATGCTGCTTTTTGCTCGCCTCTGTGTCGAAGAGGCCGTTGCCTGCAGGGCGAATCGAGCCAAAGGGCGGGGTGGTGCACGGCCGCTGACAATCGGGGAAATCGAATGTAATTGGTTGGCACATCCCGGTGAATTCGGCCTGCGCGAGCTCTTGCTGATGCGGTGGGGAAATCTGAGCATTGCGCAGCTGCAGGACGCAATGGCAGATGCCAGGCGTCATCACCGTTCAGAAGGTCTTCTCGTAGAGATAAAGTTCTACAGCGAAGTGTTGCGGGTCGTGTGGCTGGCAGTCGCGGCTGGCAGGATCGGCGAGACTGTTCACATTATTACGAGTCGCGACCAGGTTTCCGCAACGCACGCGCTGCAAATGGCCAGCGCTGGGGCAGCAGATCTCCCGTTCGACCCACCAGACTTCCAAGGGTCCTGGGCTGGCAAGGACGGTTGGCAATTGCACTGTGGATTGGGGACAGTGGAGGAAAAGGTCCGGGCTGTGGAATCGCTGTGCAAGTCGCTTGGGTCCACATCTGGCGTTTCTTCGAGCATAACTCAGCAAGATGTTCGTTGCTTTTCCTTGAAATCTCTGTTTTCACCGGTCTTTCCGACACGGGTGTTTCTTGCAAACTCACTGCCAAGGAGGGACTTATCATTGTTGACGACTCTGTGATATTTCTCAAGGCTTGCGCGTCGAAGCTGAATCTCGCTGCGGTTCGCAGCTCAGTGAGAGGAGTTGTCAAATGAAGGACGAACTGTCGCGACAGTCGAAGTGCGGAACAAACGGAATCGGAATCGCAACAGTAAGCCTGGTTGCCCTCTTGGCTTTTCCCTGGGCTTCTTGCATCCCTTTAGCAGTCTTGTCAGAGATGAAGCAACATCGCCGTCGACCCGATCGTCGCCGTGTGTTCGTTAGGAGAAGCCTTTTAGTATCCAGATGGGCTCAGAAGCTTCTTCAGGCGCGCCTATATTTGGCATCATGGGGCTATGTGAGTCACAGACACTGGGCAGACGGCCGATCTGGACTTCCAAGCGCCTTGGTGAATTTGTCGCTGCAGGCAGACCATGCAGACCGTGTGAGCATGCGGTGGCCATGCTGTTGAAGTGCTGAGGAGTGAAAGAGCTCTCGGGTGCCGAAGACTTTGCTGCAGTGCTACCCGAGCCTAGGCCAGACGAGTCCATGCGGTAACAAAAAGCAGCACCAGATCGTCTGTGACGAAGAGCCGGTCAGGAAGACTCCACTTTCTAAGCCTTGCTCGGCCTGTTCGGCAGGACATTTCGGCCTTGAGTTGAGAGCTAGCTTCGGTGCTGCCATGGCCTCTTTCTCCCTGATAAGTTCGCCCTGAGCTTGGCAGGGCTCAGTCAGACATGGCCTGCTTGTGAGCTGGCCCATGCACTTCTTTGCTCTGCCTAGGCTCATCCGGCAACTGCCCAGGCCCAGCCCTTTGCAGCCTTCGCAATGCGAGGAGCCCTCGCGGATCCCAGCGGATGTGTGTGTAGTGATCAAACACCGTGACGCAAACGTGGGTCTGTGTTTTCCAGGAGCATTCAGGCGCCATGTTCGGAGGGGCTGCTGGAAGCTTGGCAGCTCACGCCTCAGTTTTCTGCGTACGAGCTTCCCTTCCATGCCATCCCCATGCAACTCGCCGCAGGCTTTTGATGACGTTCCTGACGATTTCCAGCTTCCATCAGGGAGCGTGCAAAAGGGAGAGAAGTCCAATGCTTGCAATGGCTCTCACGCTCTTTCTCTCTCTCTCTCTCTCTCTCTTCCTCTCACTCTCTCTCTCTCTCTCGTCCCTGTCTGTCCGTGTCGGTCCGTCTCCGTCTGTCTTCTTCTGTTTGTTCTGTCCCTATTGGCCTGTGTCCGTCTGGGTCCGTATTTGCCTGTCTCCCCTGTCTGTGTCTGTCTGGCTGTCCGCCCCTCCTTCTGCCTTGCTCCATCCTTCCCTCCCTCCGTCCCTCCCTCCCGCCCTGCATGACTACTGTATGTCTTTCTCTCGCCTTCTGCCACTCTTGATGTCTGATGTGTGCACGGGTGTCAAGCTGCATGACGCTCCACTCGAGGTATTTCAAGAAGTACTGCGCGCAGTGCCATTCGATTTATCCGGACAATCGGCTCACAAGAGCACCCGGGCTGCATTCATTCATGCCATGTACCGTCGCCGTCATGACTGAAGCAGGGTCTGACCCAGTGCTCCATAGCATGCAGGCTGGGCAGACGCAGATTGGGCCCACCTTGTTCAATGTTTATGGTGGCTTGGAAGAACTGAGTACCGGGGTTAGGCTTACAGTTTCTTTTGCAATGAGCTTAGCCTTTATGCCGCATGGCGGCGGTTTATCAAATTCCCCACTTTGCGGTCTTGTATGGTCTGAAGCGAAGGCCGCGCCAGTGGACTTGAGGAAATTCAGAACAAGCAGGCTCGATACCGCAAGCTGCCTCTGAGCTTGTTCTTCGCAGTGCATCGCCTTGCATGCCAGGGCACAGACCGTGTCGACAACGTGCTATGGTTGGAAGCTGCGCTGATGTGATCTCCTGAGCTTAAGGTTGATGTCCCTTCTGGTCGCAGATTTTCACGTGGGAGGAACTACATGAAGAATCCGCGCGTTATGGCGCAGGGGAGCCGCCCTCAGTGTGACTGCAAGGTGTGAGTTTGTTTGCTTTTTGTCCTGGTCCCAGTCTATTCGTGTTTATCTCCGTTCTTTGGTTCGCAGTGTCTGGATTGGTGCGTGGCTTGCTTCTGTCGCTGTCAAGCATGTTCTCTTGGCTTCCTTGTTCACTCGCCAGTAGTCAATGGGGCCATGCAGACATACGTGATACATGGAAACTCACACTTACGGAGGCCGACATGTATTATGTAATTATGTATGTATGTATGTATGTATGTATGTATGTATGTATGTATGTGTGTGTATGTATGTACACATGTGCGTATGTCTATGTATCTGTGAATGTATATGCATATGCACATGCATGCATGAGCTCATACAAACATACGTACATACATACGTGCATACATACATACAGACATACATAGGTATAGGTGTATCTGTATGTGTACAGATACGATGATACAAGCAATACGTGTACATGTACATGTGAAACTATGTATATAGACGCACATACGTACATATGATGCATTTTGTATGTGTGTGTATATATATATATATACACATACATATGTGTATTTACACACGTACGCCCATCCACACGTTTGAATGACCCATGTTGGCAAACACGGTTAGCACACGAAACAGCATTGCCGTATGCCTGCGAAAATGAGAGTAGGTCGACCCCCTATCGACACAACGATGTCGGCGTTACCGGACGAAAAGTCGGGCATAAGCCGACGCACGCATACCTGTACAGCTTGTGCGTGGCTTTGCCTACCGTAGAGATGGCCTTGTTGCGCTGCAACCATTTCTGGGCAAAAAAGGGAAGAAGCATCTGCCCATAAAGGTGTGCACAGGCATGTGTTCATGTTTTTGTTATCTGCTCAGTTATTCGTTCGTTATTCGATTAGCTAGTTGCGTATCTGTTATATCTGTTTGCGTTTTTGAGTTTCTGTATTGTCTGTGTGTGCGAGTGTGTATGAGTGCGCGCATCCCTGCGCCGTATGCCATACGTACTTGCTACCTTCTCTCCGGTGTCGCTGCCGAGGCGTGTCCAAATGAATTTTGCGGGCAGAGACCTGAGCCTCAGGAAAGTTCCCAAATCAGTATTGTCGGCAGCCGGACTGACTGCAGCCTGTCATTGCGCAGCGAGGCATCAAAGACTTCCAGATACGTGTAGACATCGCATCTCGTCAGCAGCCAGCAGGGTATATTCTTTTTGAAGCGCCTCTCACCGAGCCTGAGGTCTTGGAATTAGAGAGTATCCTCGTTTGCAAAGCCATAGCTAGACATTCACAAAATCCAGGTCAATCAAAACATTTTCTACTAGTATCCCAGAACTGTTCAACCTTGTGCACTCCTGGTGGTTCGCGATGAGCAGTTGTTTCGAGCAGTGCCGTGAAGAGAGACCTGTTCACCGCCTGGGTTTTTTTCAGAAGAGGATGCCCTAAAGGGGGCAGGCGCAGGTACCGTTGGTGTTCAATCCTCAGTTGTCTTAGGGAAAAAGGGGCCTTTGAAGGTGCTTCTTGGGGGAAAGGAGTCGTAGAGGGGATCGCGGGAGCCTTCCAAACCATCGACATGCAAATCTTGCAAGCTCCATTCAGTACATCTCACCAACGGTTCAAGGCTGTGCACGTTCAAGCCCCGTGATGCGGGGGTGGCAGGGCTGTCTGGGACTTGTAGGCCGGTCAACGATGCATGCTCGGTCTGCTTGCACATGCATTCATGCCCGAGCATAAGATGATTCCCAAAACAGTGGAGCTGTCATGATCTGTCATGCACATGGGCTCACCTATGGCTCATCTACAGCTTGTTGCTACTCCTTCCGGTCGGTTGCGGGCGGCGGTGTGTCATGGCCAGTCGCTGGGTTTTTGTCATCCCCGGGCTGTGACACGACGCGCTGGCAGGATGTATCATTACGCACTGGGCCCGCCACGAACAGAGTTTGTAATGGCTAGCTTGTGGCATGTTGTTCAGTATGCTTGTAGGATGAGCTCATCGCTATTCACGACGCAGAGGCCCGAACTCCCCAGGCCAGAAATGCTTGACCAAGCAGGACGCTCTTGTTCAACAGCCATCACTTGGTCGTAACAGGAGGGCTGTGGTCCAAAATGTTCATTTTCGGGCATAGAGGCGGGTGATCATAACCAATTAGGGGGTTGATTTTGCAGAGATGTACTGGCTGCCCTAGCAGTTCTGGGAGACACTAAGTCCAAGTTTTGTGGCCTGAGCCCCTCAAGCAGCTCTGAGTTTCCGACAACCCCTGGGACGAACCGATGTGAATGCGGTCATTGCTAAGGTCCACTATCTGAAGACCCTCGACTGGACAAACGAAGAACTTTCGTGGGCCTGACCATGCTTCAGCTATGAGTGAAGCAGAGAAGCCCCAAGCAAGGAGAATGATACACTTCTTCGTTCGACGTCGTGCCAGGAATCCGCCAGAGAAACCGGCAAGTTTCGCACCCGTCCGGTGGCAGTACCCTCAAGTTGCTTCCGAACAGTTATTACGTCTTAGCAGCTCTTCGCTTCAATATGCCTGCATTGAGAATCTGCGGTGTTAAGGATGCAGCAGATGGGCAGGCAATGAGCGTAGAAGCTGTGGACCTTGGCCTGCTGCAGCGGTTTCACTGCTTGCAGTAAGTTTTCAATGGCGCACCACGCCGTGCTGCATTCGCAGCGGACCAGGGGGTGCTCCCCTGCTTATATCCGCTTGAGCTAAACCGGCAGTATCCGTAGAGTTCCATGCTCATGCTGTTGTCTGCCTTCTAGAGGATAGTAACTTCTTGCTGCTCCTTGACCATACATGACCAGACATGCTCCTGAGTAGGGAGCCTTTCGCCCAGCTGCACCGCCGTTTCAAAAAAGTCTGCGATTGCTGCGATCGTTGGTTGTGGTCTCCGTTGTACCCAAAGAAAACAACTCTAGATTGACGGCATGATTCGATTCGGCTTAAGCTCAGGGCAGGCCTGAACCCTTCGTCGAGCCTTTATCCAAGATGCTATTCAAGAGTGAAAAGGCATAATTACACTTAGTCGCGACATCTCTCTATGTCCTATGCACGATCACTGCGCGAGAACTTGATCACCTTCAATCATTTCGCCGCTCGGAACTTCTTGAATCATGTTCCGCAATGCATCTTCGGCTGGCTGGCATTCTGCCGCTGATTGCAGCTCTTGCAGCATCACCGGGCACCAGCAAGTCAGCGCGCTGCGCAACGGATCATGCCGAAAAAAGCACACCAGCTCCCATTCGCAGACTACTCGCTTCTCTTCGGTCGATAGGCAGCACTGTGAGGTCAGATCTCGCTTTCACCAAGAGGTCAGGCGGCGGCACAGCTGTACACGCTTCCGCAGACATATACCCTGGGGAGGTTCTGTTCAGGATTCCTCAGTCTGCCCTTCTGTGGCGCGGTGCACATCTGGGAATCGCAGTGGTCCAGGCAGGCCACCTCACAGACGCCGAACGTTTAGTACTGGCATTGGCGGCAATCAAGAAAGGTCTTCAAACACCGCCGCCTCCAATCGAAGCATATGGGGCTTTTCTACAGGAGGAACCACTACCAAACGCCACCATCTTGTGGAGGACAGAAGTCCTGGCTTGGCTGAAAGGCACTGAAGCGGCTGAATTGACTGAGCATTTCCTTCGACGAATAGCCCAAATTCATGCTGCTGCACCGCTACTTTTGGAGTGTGTCTGACATGTCTTTGTGGGTTGAGTCTTATGCGAGCTCGCACGTTATCGCACGAGCCTCGATGTGTCTAGTCTGATCGTAGCTTACTGCTCTGGTGCCAGGCATAGCGACATCAAGGCGCGAGGGATACACTGCAGAGTGCCCGTTGACAAGTGGAGTACAGGCTGCCTTCGCGCAATACTACTCGCGACATGGAAGTTTGCCACTGGGCGCACGGCTTAGTCACTGAGTGCCACGCACTGAGCGCGGAGAGAACGTTGGCCCCTCAGAGATGAGGCCAACGTGGTGCAGCGGAGCCAGTGATGCAGTGTGCTCAGCAGTTTTGACGGGTCATGCCGGTTGCTGTGCTTGCATTGGGCAAAGGCTGGCATAACCAGGTCTACACATGCATTCCGACAGCTATAGCTCTTGGAACATCATGCTGATCGACTGAGGATGCCGGGCATTGACTTCTGCCGGCGTAAAGATGGCGGCTTGAAGCCAGTGTGCCGCCTTATGCAGTGACTCTGTGTGCGGGGTAGTGGAGTGCTTGTACGACCTTGTAGGTCGCAAGGAGTCGTGACGCGACTCAACACTAAAAGGCAGGTGCTTCAGTATCATTGTGCAGACTGAGGTACTGAGGAATGGCGACGTTGCCGGCCTTGCATAGAATGCACTCGAAGTGCTGCGAATGTGTCTTTCATAGTTGGCAGGTGCACCTAGTTCTGACAGAAGTGCTCGAGTGCTGTCGTTGCCCGAGGCTGAACTTCTGACGACAGAGACCATCCACGCAGGGGACGAGATTTTCGTTGACTTCGGTGCGGGGGACTCAAAAGTTTTTGTTGAGGCTGGCTAAGGCATTGTTATGACTAGCTATTGCATGCTATTGCCCAACTCAGGTTCGTGACCACACAGACCGCATTGTGCAGGGAGTTGGGCCCCAGTCGTTTGCGCTGACTTGCACTGACTCCCGACTTCAGTTGGCTGTAAGAGGCCCCGGACGATCCTGACGCCGGCATTCTTCTGCCAGCTTGTGTCCGAGCTTGCGGCGCTTTCGTCATCACTCTGGGGCGGATGTCTTGGCTGAAAGTCGTTGAAGGTACCGCCTATGGGCACAGGGCCTGCGAACAAATGGAAGCGACCTGCTCCCAGTACTGCACGCGCACGTCTTGTGCAATGCAAGTGCAGCGCATATGAGCTGCGCAGGGTGCATTCCATGCAGAATGCATGTTCGCAGCCGGGAGACCTCAGGTCGCCTCTTCCAGCACCTGCATTGGCCGGCCGAGGCGCTTGCGGGGCTGTCACGGACGGTTCAGAGAGGCGAAGAACACTCCATGCGCGCGAGGTCTTGCTTCGGAACGGCGTAGTCCAGGCCCGCCAAATCAGGTTTGGGTTGGAAGCCAGAGTCCCTTAACGCCCATAACATCTGTCGAGGATCAAAGGCATCTTCGCCTTGCTGCGATGCCTCGCGAAGAGTTCACGGCTTGGTCGCCGCCTGAGAGACGCCCGCTCGGCAAGCGCTCTTTGCTGCAGAGAGGGGGCAGATGTCGTTTTACCCCACGTCACATCCACGGCAGCGAAAGCAGAGAGGGCTCCGAGAGCCAAGCCCGAGTCCTGTCTTCTTTGGGCATCACTCAAAGACTATTGAAGAGGTCGGCTTTCCCGAATTACAGCGGGCGGAGCGTGGTTGCGGTCGTAGATGCATGCATTCAGAACTCAACGAACCGAATAAGAACAGAAAGGTGACAGCTTGTAATGTATTTCACGCCAGAGGAACGTTGACGACATTGACGATATATCTGAAAGCTTTGCATCCCAAGGTCTGTTGGGGCGCTGGTCGCCGGGGCACCGCTTGCAGTATCGCGTGCCTTCCGTACGGAGACGCAGGCAGGGAGGAAGGGAGCAATGTTCGGGCGCTGATTGGGCCTTGTGACCGAGGCCAACGCATACTTGGTCGCAGAGTGCTCCAAGCGCGGTGCAGCTGCGAGGCTGGATGTCATATTGATTAGGTATTATGATTTCCAGCAGCTAAGATGCCGCCCTTTCCACAACGAAGACCCATGTACACTTGCGTCCGGCTGAAAGAGATCAGCCAGGCTTGAGCGGTAGCCGAAAACCTCTGCGGATGCCAAACAAACTGAGCACTGGCGACTGTTTTCGTAGAAGCAACCTGGTCTTTTGAAGTGCTCAGATGAGGGTCACTCCGCTGGCTCGCCAATGCCGGTACTCCTGTTGTGGCAGCAAGGAGACGCGACTTCGTTGGCATTGTTCTCTTGCGGAGACACCTGAAAAAGGCTATATCTGGCCATTGTCAACGTTTTGCTCCGAAGACCTCACTTCAAGAGCGCCGGCGACGGCGTTCGTGCAACGATTGGTGAACAACAATGTTTATTCACTGCTGGAGGCAGGTATTTAAGCTTCTCCGTGTCGGTGAAGCAACGCTTCTATGCGCCCGAATGGTTTTAGCGACCCATCGTCTTTGGCATGTCTCTTCGATGGCCCTGCTTGGGAAACCGCGAGGGAGCAACTGATTTGCTGTTGCTAAGTCATGGAGCAAGACAGAAGCAGTGCGTTGCATTCTAGACCCGGCCACAAAGGCGCTCAAATGTATGTTGTGCGGCTATCGATGGGAATGCTCTTCTGGCACTGCCTGGCAAAGGGCGTCCCGGAACAACCGCAAACATCAGGTCACCTCTCAGCGAGCAGAAGAGGCAGAACGAGCAGAACCAGAAGGGTTCGGCCTCCTTAGCCAGGTCAGGACTTGGGTTTTGGCTGGCGTTTCCGCTGCGCTTCTCTTCTGCCCGAGGTATCGCGACCGGCTTGTCGAGGCCTGCATGGACCCAGGATGTGGTGAAGAGCCGTTGAGAATCGCTTTTCTGTGCTCACGTGGCAGTTTCGTGTCGCATCCCATCAAGAAGTGTAGTTGTTTGGACAGCCTGCAGCAAGATCTCAGACCCTGCAGGGCTACAATCTGTGCAAGCTGCGAGCTGAAGAGAAGCTGCGGAAGCTTCATATGCCAGCGCCTCAGTTTTTATCGTAAGAGCTGGAGTACCATGGTGCAAACTTTCAGCCCCATGGACTCAATGGCATGTTTCGGCTAGAAGTGCCAGGTGGGCGATGAGGCAGCATGACTGGGTGTTTCGTTTCGTGCACCAGGCAGGACGAGTTTCAGTACTAGGCATGCTGCTTGCGAGTCGACTTAAGCAACACTATAGCAACACTTGTCAGGCAGTTCACATCACTGATCAACTGCCTCGAAAGATCGGAATTCAGGCGAGTGCACTTGGCTCGTCACATACAAGAAAGCTGTGCAAAATCTGAGCTGCGTCAGATGAATGCGCTGTCGCACCCTACCGCTGCATCGGACAGACTGGCCTCGTTGGCATGCGCATGGGCGCGCATGTGCGTATTGTGTAAGACATGTATCGCACCGCACAGGACCAGAACTATATGGCGAGCATGACTGTGGCCTTGGTGAATGCCAAGGTCCGTCGTGGCTTCTTTCTTGAAAGGGCATCCGGCTCCTTCCGTTTGCAATCGCTGTTGTTGAGGTCGCCAACTTTGTCCCATATTTCAATACTCTGCTGCAGGCACGCTGTTGACTGTGGTGAGCGGTCTCAGCCAAGCTTGCCGCCAGGTTGCTGCATCACCACGGGAGCTTACCAACATCCGAAGGCTAGACAGCAGCATATCAGCAAAGGGAGAACCCAAGCGGTGGCAGTGTGACCACGAGCACTTTGTGATGGCACGAAAAGCAAGTGCAAGGCATCAGGCTTGAGATCTGTGAAACCGCGCAGCTTGTTCAGGCTTTCGCACGCGATGGCTCTCCTGCAAGGCTCCGGAGCTCTGATGGCTTTTGAGGGAATCCCAGGAAGCTGCAGCATTGAACAAGACTGCTGGTGCGTTTAGGGGTGAGGGATTACGGGACAGGTACATCGTGTGATCAAGTTGATCTATCAGACTTTGACTGGATCAACGGATTGCAAGGTGGGCAGGGAAGTGAGGCAGCAGCCAGTGTAATGCGATGTAATGAAATGTGCCTAGATCGGAGAACCCCGGTCCACATAATCTCAACATTGCTGCACTTTCAACGCTGTGGCTTCAGGTAAGGATGCAATTGGAACACTGAAGTGCTCCTGCACAACGATGTGCAAGTGATAAGTTGTGCTGTCGCCAGTACTTGGGCAAAGTGCTTGGTCTCAGACCGAGGTACTTGCTTCCCGAAATGGAGAGTCTTGCGCAGGCCATAGACAGTCGAGTAGTCACAAATTCGAATTTGGTTTCAGCTCCGGATGTGAAGCGTCTGATCAGTGCTCTGCTTGCGTGGGGTCGGAAACACGTAGAAAACGTGCAGGAGTACAAGATTGCAGATGACCTTTGAAGGACTCGAAGAATCGTTCGGAGAGGCTTCGGGTCCGGTTGAGAAGCAAGCCGTGTCTGTATCCCCATGTGAGGGAGCTCATGGACGTCAAGGATGACAGAGGGTCACGTACAGCCAGGGATGGCGTCGAAAAGTCTAACCCCAGAAAGGCTGTGCAGGGGTTCAATCTTCAGCCATTGTCACGAAGCATCTTTCGGGTTGTCGATGCAGCGCTGGAGCAGTTCCTTGCAAGACTTGAATCACACGAGATCACGTGACTCTGCCCTTTGCCTGCCTTTCTCACTTGGCTCACACAGAAGTACAAAGTTGGGAGAGTCACGAGTAGCCTGTGTGCTGTTGGAGCCGCGCTTAGCGACAAGGGGAATCTGATAAGAATCACATGTTGCCATCAAAACTGAATGCTCTTCGCGACTGAGGCTGCACGTGCTCTCCAGGCGACCGGCGGGTTCGCGCTATCTTTGAGCTCATTCGGCTGTGTACGAAAGTTGAGGTTCAATCATGGCTGTCACGGGGGATTACGTGCCGGCCTTTCTTCGAACCTCATGCTTGCTTCTATGCATACTGCAGCTGCTAGCATGTTGCCAGCCTGGAAATTCAGGATCATCTGGTGAAGCTGCTGTTACTCGGTGACTCTGCTGTTGGCAAGTCCTTGTCCCGGGGAGCTCGTGCATCCTGCAAAGTCAAGTAGCATGGGTTGTTTGAGGTCATCGCTGCTTATGCGATTCTGTGAGAGCAAATTCGATGCGAATTTCGTCCTGACCATAGGCCAGCATCATGTTTCAAGTTGACTGAATTTGCAACTCAGAGCGTGCACTTGGAAGTGAATGAAGTCGGGTGCTTCCCATCAGTCATGCTATGTCTTGAGAGAAGCACTGGCAATCGCGAGGCGTCGACTTCAAATGGAAACAAGTCGAGCGCGATAGCAGGAAATTGAAAATACAGGCCTCAAGATGCAGCGGTGCTTGATGGACGCTGTATGACCAGGGCTTGAGTTCAGCTGACTTGACCCGTCACAGGTTTGGGATACAGCCGGACAGGAGCGGTTCCGCGTGAACCCTAGCAGTTTTCTGCGCATGCCGCGATAGGTAGCATGAGGCTATTGCATATTATCAATCCCTGCTATTTGGGGCGCCGTGAGGCACCATTACGCCTGCATACTACAGAGCTGCACATCTGACTGGGTTTTCGGTGTGGGCAGATGCTACGTAGCATTCGGGTGCATGGTTCCGTCAAGCCGCCAGGCAATGGGAGTGGTGATCTGCTACGACATAACGGACAAGGCAAGTCATCATCGTAGCTGCATTGACCAAATTTGGCAGCCTGTCTGTCCCTTTGTTGGCTGACATTGTCGGGCCTAGCGAAACAAACGGGAAGGCATCTTTTGAGCACATCGACTACTGGCTGCAGCAGTTGGAGCAGCATGGTGATGAAGGTGTGCAAAGGCCGGCGAGAAGATTTCCGACACTTATGCGAGCAAGGTTCATGTCTGGCCTCTGACAGGGTCCTTGTGGGAAACAAGTCCGACCTCAATGAGAATCGAAAAGTCAATGCCTCGGAGATGCGAAACCAGATCGATCCCTGAGCACAATTTGTGTTTTGATTTTTATCTTTCTTAGGTCACCAGAGAAGAAGGTGAAAAGCTTGCCGCGCAGTACAGCATGAAGTTCTTCGAGGCACGCGCTTCCACAGCACCGAAAGTCATACTTCCACACCTGATTTTTGAAGTCTACCTACAGCTTCCCCCAAGCCTCAACACCAACCCTACACCTATCATACCAACCACGACGGCACCATCGTCATAGGAGGCACAGCAGCATAATCGGCGGTGTTTGGGGATCAGGATTGCGAGATAGAGACTGGTGTCGGCACCATGACTAGCTTTTCTTTCGTTGACCTGACCCCGCATCTCAAGTTGCTGACATCTGGTAAAGTTCCCCAGTCTAGCAACTGGTTCTGCTCATGCACGTTGCAGACCTCTGCCAAGACGGGGCAAGAGGTTGAAGAGGCGCATCTGGCAGCGATGGAAGAAAATGGCAAGTGCTTTTCAACACTATAGCGTTTTCAGTGCAGGCTTTCCTTTCCATAGCTGACGAAGTCGTGAAGCAACGATATTCAGACGTCCGGGCCCTGATCCTGTCAGCTGTGACGTTTTACGTGCGGGTTTCTGCGTGGTACATGTGATCTCAGGTGCAGCCCAACACGTTCCAAGTCAAGAAACCAAACCAAAAAAAGAAGCAGAATTGCCAGCCCGAGCCCTGGCACTGGACACACCGACTGCTCCATCGGTTCTTTCTGTGCCGAATTCTGCAGGTGTTGACGGCATGGCCTGGATCCCATGCCTATGAAGCCGGGAGACGTTGCAGAAGTATTTTGCTGTGCTCCGCAATGCTTTGGAGTGGCGTGGTCAGAAGCACCGGAAGCCCAGAAGTGTCGTAATTTTGGCGCCGCTAGTGCACTGGGAAGTGCAGGCTCACCTAAAGTCATGATGTCATGCGTGCTTCTGCTTTCTTTCACGAGGCTTCAGGGTGAACTCGGCATGGCAGTAGATGCACAGGTCATCCTGCCCAAACATGAGCATTTTCTTGCAGTAAAGCAGTCTGAGTGAAAGCGACACCGCTTCCGCTTGCTGCCCTGCATGCTATCAACACTCAATGGCTGCTAACCGCGTCGCTACCTGTGCTTGCGTTCTCAGATCACCATGGAACACTCCATACCAAAGCTTCATGTTCAGGTGGCTTTGGCTCTAGGCCATGACCGGAAGTGTCACACTTTGCAGACGCGGATGCTTTGGCATCCACGGCTGACGCCCCGTCCTGGACCAAGCCGCAATGGCTAAAGAGATCCATGGCTTGCAAAGAGCCGATATTTTGTATTGGCTCTGTGTTCAAATTTTCGCACTGAAGCAGCACCTGCTGGGATACACCACGTACCCAAATCGGCCTTTGGCGAATATAGGCATTGGAAAGGGTTTCGTAAGGAAGCTTGCGATGGTTGTCGCCTTACCCGCATATCCCAACAGGTGACTGCAGACCTAGGCTTGCATGGATGTCGCCATACCACTTTGGCATCAAACGGGTCCATAGCTGTCAGTACAGTTTCTGGCCAACCTCAACCTTTGACCAGCGACATAAAATCGCTTTGTCTTCTAATCTGAAACAGGTCAAGGCAACATCCACTGCAAGCATTGCTAGTGATTGGATCTCGTTGTGGAGCGAGTTTGAAGAGATTACCCGCGCCACATGGAGGAGGGTTCGCTGAGCTGGTGAGATGTGGCAACTGCAAAACTTGCGCTCGGGACGCGATGGTGCAGCGACAAAGCGACTTGACATGCATTCTAACCCGGACCGCTACGCCGAAAGACGGCCTTACTTGCTTCGAAGCCTGAGGGCACCCGAATCTTGTCTGTGCTGAAGGATCATTGGCTCAAGTTTCTCAGACTCTTGGCGAACTGTAAGCTTGCCAAAGCAGATGTAGATTGTGGATGATGACACATCTCGACCCCGTTGTGCCCCGCACCAGGATGTGCCAGTCCGACGGTCGGCCGTCACAAAGTGCATCGAGTGAGGAAGCTCGCATCTGAGGACTCTGCAATTTTCTGCCCGATTCGACTACCACATAGCCGGCGTAGCTGGTGCTGCTTGCAGCCAGAAGCTGTAGATGTCACCCCTTACCGGACAGAAGACCCACGTGATTCTGGGAAGCCAAGTCAAGGCGATTCAAGCAGGAGTATACATAACAATCAGGAGGAGAGGATGAGGAACAGGTCAAAGAGTTCCTCGCCTGTCTGTCGGACAGATACCGAGTTGCTTTTGTCAACAACGCGATTCCACATTGCAGATGGTCGACGAGTGTACGACGGAACTCTGAAACTCCAGTATTCGTGCCAGCTCAGCAGTCGGCCGACTTTCCATCGAAGGCGCAATGGCTCACTGGACGCCTGTACAGCGTCTCTCCAGCGACCTGCATACAGGCTTGCGGTCGTGGTGCAGACGCATTTGCATGATTTGACCCAGCACGACAGAGCCCTGCTGCCAGTACCACAACGTGGGCCGCCGGGATTCAGGTGATGTTGCAAATTGTTGCAAGCTGGGTATGCACAGACAACGCCAAGCGGCGCTACAAGTTTACACAGGTCACCAACAGGTGCATACGTCTGCCAGTGGCACTGAACTCGAAACACTTCTCTTTTTCGAGACACTTGCCTCTACTTCTGTAACGGACTGTAAACCTCATTCGGAAAGTGCCCACGGCCAACACACGCATCTGCAGTTGTTAATCAGGTGAGCCAATTTGGGGGGGCTCGGGCACAACTCATCTTGCATATTCTTGCAGCATGATTTGCTTTGGCAAGGTGCGGTGACGCTTTGTCAAGGTGCGGTGACAGTGGCATACACAGACCGCACAGCCTTCATGCCGAGGTTCGAAGCTCATGTGTTAGTTCACGAAGCCTGGATATCTGTGTCTTAGCCCTGTGCGGCAGATTCGCTATCGGCTTCCTAATAATCGCGATGTTGCTGGTTCTCGTCGCCCTTAACACAGGACGCTTCAAGACATCATACAGTGTGCCGCATCAGCGTCGTTGAGTAGACACGGTCGCTCAGTGCTGCTACAGAGGCACTCGTGCGACCTGTGAAAGTGTCTGCATTAGCAGCTCCAAGTGTTTCTAGTGTCGCTTGCTGCTCCTGCATCTGCCATCATCTGCCATTCGTAAACTCGTGCCTCCTGCAGAATTCGGGATAAAGGATCTCCCGAGTACCAACACAGTGCTGCAAGCTGCAAACGCCACCAAATCTACTACTGCCCGCGCAACTGCACTGGCTAAGGACTGAGCTCGAAGTGAACTCACATTGAGAGTCGATCAACCATGACAACCTGTAACGACGGTCAACACCTCGTGACGGCAGGGCTAAATTTCAAGTGGCAAGAAGGCATGACAGCATTGTCAACAACAAGTTCTGCGCTGATGCTGCTGAAACGCGTTCTTAATGATGTTTTTGTGCGCCTGCAATGCTTCCAGACAGGACCGATGGAGTCTGATGAGGCGAATCTACGACTCGTTAGGAAGAATAGTTGAAAGGAGCCGGATCTGCAGAGACGTTCCTGATTCCTGGAGCACTCCCGCTCACGCTGCTGATTGCTTGGCGGGCAGTACTTGAGAAGCGCTTTCGAGTTGAAAAGAGAAAAGACATGGCGAATCATCGTTTGGCAAGCTCTTCGCAATACTTGTCTTTTGCTTGTGGGCTGCCAAGTCACGTCGTTTGAGTGACCGAGCCGCATCTTGGCTCGTGCTACACTCAAGTGCGTCGCAGCAGTTACGCACTGCCATGTTCGAGTCCCGAGCGACTGCCTTGGCCCTTCTGGGCTTCTGCCTTTCCCACTTGGCCTTGGCATCCACGCTTCCTGCAAGAGGCCCTTCTATTCGCCTGCCGGGAGGCCGAGTTCTTGAAACAAGATTGCATCCCGATGCCAGGCCAGAGATTCTCGAAGCATTCATGGCCATCGTCCCTTTCCAATCCTTCATATTCCACACAGTTTCCTCTGGAAGAAATCTGGTTTTCCTGATGCCCACTTCGGGGGACCAGTTTCGGATGAAGTCCTTGCCAGGCGAGGGATTGAAAGCTCGAAGCTCCTCTGATGCAGGAACTCTCTTCATCCGTCATGACCAGATGTGCGTGTTGACATACGGCTACAGCCGAGATCATGAGTCCTTTCTGCCGCCGGTGCTCTATGTTGAAGCGGAGGATCTGCCGTTGTTGCAGACCTTTGGTGATGAAGTCTGGGAGGGGCAACTCCGAGGAGAAAGGAAAACACCATTTTTCTTCGCTTTCACTTCCGATGTTGCTGCAGGGCTGAGTGTGCCTGTACCGTCAGTCAAAGACGAGATGACTGGTAACCAAAAGGTGGACGAAGCCGTGGCCTTCATTCGATCGAGGACGTGGGGACACTGGCTGGAGCCGCCGCAGGAATTGGTGCGCTTGCTGTCTACTGGCGACTCCCGCGGTCAGGAGGGAACTGAAGGTTACATTTTCCCCCCGATGGTCATAGGCAACGGCGTGATGATGGTCTTGTCAACATATGCACACAGCGGGGTCTTAAATGTACTTGCATCACTTCTGGAGAATAAGAGCATCGGGAAGGACGACATCTTTCTACTCCAACAACTGGTGAAGAACGTCGCAGATACAAACGTGCCTTATCTGCGGTCGCTCAGCCTGGATACGATTTGTGGTGGCTTTGACCGTTTCTTCGCCGCTTGGGACCAGGCTGAGACTGCCGCCGAAGTTCGCGCACTGGTTGGTGCCATTTCATTGTTCGGAGCCTTGATGCACGGATGGTTCGTTTTCCTGTTCCCATACCGACTTGGCATTGGACTCCGTCGTCAAGCAGCTCGTTTCGACACTTGGTTCAGCATAGAGCCATCAGAGGATACATTCCGCGTGCCATTGCGGTTCCGAGAAGGCCGGGGGCTTGGGGTGGCAACGTGGAGTGTGGGGACACCACGCGAGCGGGAGAACTTCAAGGCGAGCTCGCGTTTGCCGGCGAGTCTGCCGGCCCTGACTCCCAACAGCCTTCCGCTCATTGTCGGTGTACAGCCATCTGCTGCGTTGACTTCGCTGAATGATTTGGCAGTTTTGTCTCGGGGGCTCGTGGAGGAGCATTTATCGGTGAAAGGAGCCATACTGTTTCGCAACCTGCCAATCTCCACGTTTGACGAGGCAGGTAGTTTCATTTCTTCCCTCGGTTACACCATGTACCATGATCCCAGCGGTCGAGAGAAGGTGGCAGAGGGTCTGTACCATTCGTCGCTGGCTGTTCCCGCAGACATCAACATCGCTCCCCATCAGGAGCACATAGTATCCAACAAACCTCCCAGCAAGTTGTTCTTGTATTGCCAAAGTCCTTCTTCGGACGGAGGTGAGACTCCCTTGGCGCACGCAGGAGACGTGTGGGATTTGCTTCAGAGCACCACACAAGCTCAACTGCGCCGACGGGGTGTTCGCTTTGAGATGGTTCGGGGCAATGCTGGCGATCCTGGCAACCCTGTGCAATTTACCCGGAGTTGGCAAGAGCATTTCTCTACTGATGATTTGCAGACCGCTATCGACAAAGCGACAGAAGACTTTAACGGCACCGTCCAAGTAGATGATCATGGCAACATCATGCTCCGTAGTAGATTCCTTCTCCCGGTGCAGGTGGTACAAGGAAGGGAAATATTCAGCTCGCAGCTGCAAAACATTTACAGTTTGCGATGGTTGTGGGGGGATGCTGTTGAGTACGTGCCGGACGACATTCTGGAAGACGTTATGAGTGCTGTGTGGAATGCGGCCACAGTCTTCCAATGGAAGGCTGCCGGGGGGACTCAAACTGAGAGCAACTAAGTAACTAAGCACGCAAGTCGCACCAAGACGCACTCTGGGACCTTGACTCTTGACTTGCCTCGAAAGCTGCAGGCAGCTAGAGCTGGAAGCCATCATGCGGACAATTCACTGAGCACGCACTCTGCGATGTCTGGATAGTGTTGCCTAGCCAGCGGTGCCTTGAGCTTTGTTAGGTTGCTTCCTCGTTCCACACACACACACACACCTGTCAGGCAGGCGATCTTCTTGTGGTGGACAATGTGAAGGTCTTGCACGGGAGATTGTCGTACCAAGGCGACAGATACATGGTCGTAGGGCTGACGCACGATTGACCAACGGCCTGGCAGCTTGTAGAAACTCGGCAGTCTGTGAAGAGGCTTGGGTTCAGATGTGTCAGCGAGAGTGGAGCTGGCAATCATTTTTGGATGGCCTTAGTTTGGGATTCGGAGTTGCCTCTGTGGTACAGAAGGCTTCAAAATCCAGGCCAGCGCAAGACGACAGAGGAAGAGGTGACCGGAATGCCGGTTGCACAGTGAGTTGTTTGGTCCGGTGAGCGCACCCGGAGCAGCCTCTGCAAAAGCCATGTGGCGAAATTCAGCATCGCGATGACGAAGCGAGTGCCCTTTACTTATCACCAGTGCAGTCGTATGTTCTGTTCATGACGTGTTCTCTCTGCTGTTCTAGCCGGCTTGCCTCACAGGCGACACAACAGGGCCAGCTAAGTGCAATGTCGAATGGCCAGCAGTTTTCAGTTCTTCAGCATTTCCTAACACAGCTAGTCGTAGCATGATACTGGAAGTGTTCGGTCAGGCCAATATACATGGGCCGCCATTGTGCATGGGCCAATGTAGCGTTTATGGCATGAAATGGTAGACAGCAGGCACATCTCGACAGCGTGTTCGTCAGCTCGTTGAAGTGCGACCGTGTTGCACGCAGGAACCTTCCCCGTCCGCCTGCGGCTGCATTTGCTGAGCCCGCTGCTCGTGATTCGAAGTGATGACTCCGGCTGTGTGGGCACTGCGCCGGAAGCATACGGCCATGATCACAGGGATAGTGAGGGCGCGTCCATCCTATGCCCCCGGATGAGCTGCAGGGTCAGGCCTTGATTTGAGTGCTCACCATGTCGGGCAAGTTGCTCAATTAGACTTGGCGCAGCCTGATGGGGTCCTGAACCAGAAAAGACCAAAACCAGGCTGCTTATACCACGATATGGTAGCGTATGAGCCGAGTGTGCTCATGAACCGGTTCGGTTGATTCAGATCGCGGGTCTGATTCCCCGAGGCCGAGGTCCTCAAAGAAGTCGTCAGCTCGGCCTGTCAACAGCTGTTAGTGGCGCTTGTTCACCGCTGCCCTCAGATTCTCGCGAAGCGAGGGCGTCCGATCGGAGGGACCCCCGAGGCCAGGGCCGGCGAGCGCCGGCGAGCATGGTGACCCGCCTGTCTGCGCGAAGGCTTCTGTCGGTTGGTGGAAGAGAAGGTCCTGGACAGCAGATCAATGGAGATTACGAGCTCCTGGAGGCCATGGCAGCCAGGTATGCGAGTTTTTTCAACATGAAGATCTGCAGGGCACAAGACCTCACGGCCGACCCTGCTGGCTGCGCTTGAGCTTCGGCTTTTTCACAGCTCTCGTCTCGGATTTGGAAAAGCTCAACATGTGCTCTAAGGTCGGGGTAAACCGCTACCAAACACCGGAACAAACGGACTGGCAGAGGCGGATTATGCCGAAAGTGCTCGTGTGCCTCGCGTGTTCTGTTGTCAGCACGACGGCGAGCTGCGGCCGCTATACCTCTTCTTCGGTGAAATGGGCTACTGGAGCATTGCCGCATCAGCAGAGTCCTCATGATGCGTGTGACCTAACTCCAGCATGAGTGTCTTTGGACCGATTGTGAGACATAGGTCCTTGCGGCAGGGGTGCACGTGTGGGCCTTGGTTTCGTGAGCTTGCATGTTTCTTCCGCCCGTGATTGCCGACTCCATTCTGTTCGTTTGCTCGGTGGCTGGGGATGCTTGCTGGTGTTTCGGTGGACTTGACTCATAAATACTTCTCTTTCTGCAGAACGGAGTCGCAAGCAAGGCATCACTACAAGAGTCGATGGGTTGCGGGAGTTTGCATAACCAAAGCTCACAAGCCTACCTCAACCGGTCTGCGGGGACCATACATGAAGCTATGACTCTTTGCGTGCTTCATTCAGCCTTGGAGCTGCATTACCGCTGCGATGACCGTGTCCCTGAAGCGGTGCTGCAGATGCAAGGTGTTGGCACGGTGCGGGCCCGACTTCTCGTCGTCATCGCCTGATATGTGTCTCCGGGCCGCAGATAGAAGCATATTCAGATGAATTCTCTCGCCGGTGCTGTTGAAGTGTCTTGCCAGTTTAGTAATCATCTGTGTATTGAAGGGTGAACAGATCGGTACCGGGCGTTGCACACAAACGAGCTTCCAAATCGAGCACAATGCAGCAAGTCAGAGAGATCAAAGAGTATCAGTACTTTTTGACCAATGTGGGAGGATTGAACGGGATTCTTCCGTCTGCTTCAGCATGCTGCTAAGGTACGCTGCCGTGGACGGTGTTTGCCTTTGGGAAGGCTCTGTACGCTACACATATGCCTTTCCCAAGCTCATCAAAGGTGGATGCAACTGCACTGGAGGCACAGCGAGACGCCAGCATCTTGTGCTTCAGACACGACCTTTCCGCAGATGTACCAAAGGCATGGTGGATTGGAGCATGCAGTCACATCACATGAGAGATCAGGAGTCACGCCATCTGCACCACGATAAACAGGATGGGTCGGACCACTTACTCGGTTTTGGGACCGAACTTGTTTGCAAAAGTATGGCCTTGTTTGCCGATCACGCGGGTGCAGCACGATGTGGGCAAGTCATACTGCTTCCTTCATCACTCATGCACGAGTGCATTGAGAGAACATGCCGAGAGTCCTCTGGTCGGTTTGCCTCAAGTCGAAAAGTGCCAGGTGTTGAATGTCTCCGGCTGCAGAGGGGATCACGGGCAGCTGAATGGCAGCTACACTCATTTACAAGGCACTAACTCACTAACTCCAACACACTCAGAGTCCAGTCAGAATCGTTTCTTTCTGACAACCGACCTCGGCTCAGGAGTAAGAGTGAGCAGCCGTCCGGTCTTTGTGAAAGACTGCCGTGCTCGTGAGGGTGAAGAGAGGACCTGCTGCAAGTCTGACTGTTGGACGTGTGGTTAATGTATTTTTTTAGAGTCTAGGTGCGTGCTTCAGATGTGTGCTTCACGCTACTGTAGCGCCTGGCATCGCATGGCCGCAGGAAGGTCTTGCACTTCTCCCAGCGCGTGCGACCCAGCGGAGCGGAGCGGTGCAGTGCAGAGCCATGTGCAGCCTTGCCATGAAGTGATCCGGCTTGGGGCTTGGAGGCTCCGGGAGGTGGTTCATTTCGAGCGTGAGCTTGGGCTCCTTGGAGGTCAGCAATCCTTTTCGGCTTGGGCTGATCCAGTAGAATCTAGTGTCCCCAGCGGTCGTGGCAGGTGGATCAACTCAGTACGTCTTCCGACGCTAGTCCCCCGGTGAGGTTTCAATGTCAGACCGCACCTCCAGAATCTGCAGACAGGGGATGGACCGAACGGACTTCAGTCCACAGTGGCACAGTGCCACAACGCTGGCCAGGCCAAGTCTGGAAGTGTCATTGCACGTAGTTTGATTGTGGTGCCAGCTTGTCTTGTCTTCCAGCTGCTAGCTGCCGGACGAGACTCAGACTTTTCGCCTTTGCTGCCATTCATGTCTCAAACGTCGGGTGCGGCATCGTCAAGATCATGTGCACTGCAACGCTACATTCCTAGCCGATGTAGAGGTTTGAGGACCGTGGAAATTTCAAAGTAGGACTGTCGCCATGGCAGTTTTGGAGATCCGCGTGCTCTTGGAGACCAATGTCGTGGATACCATTTGAATCACGTCTGAATTGAAGCCGACATGTAACAGTCATGCATCGAGAGTGCAATGCCAATGCTTTCTCAGCACGCAGATTCGAGTTCTGCTTCGTTGGAGTTTGTGCGTGGAGTTGATATGATGTTCTGGCACAGGTCTCCCAGATCTCTGATTGCTTATGTCGCCTCTGAGGTGTAAAAGCTGATGAGGTGAAGGACCTGCCTGGCGAAGCCTTTGATGTCATCTGTGTCATGGCGATGTCAGAACACCCGTATCTAAGACGGAGTCTTCAGCGGTCAAGAAACGGGTGATATGAAAAGCTGTTCACACAGCCAGTTCAGCGGCAGACTCTACTTCTCAGGTCAGAGGGCGCAGCAAGCAGTGGGAAACAAGGCTTATCTCGAGTCGAATTCTCTCCGACGTACCGTTCGGGATTCGAACTCGGAAATGTCCAGTTCTCATGGGCGTGTCGCAGGCCATCAAGCGCATCTTCTACGTCGACGCCCTTCGACTGTAACTAGTAGGACTAATGTAAGCCGAGACTGAGAAGTCGCTTCCTGACAGGATGAAGGCGATGCTTGCACATTGGCTCCTCCATCCGTTTCCGATGCCTTGGATTTGTGCAGAAACGGAGTCAGCTACCCAGCGAGCGCCTTGTGGGCTCAGTGCTGCCAAGCTTCTGATCTTAAAACTCATGTCCCGAGGCCCTAGCCCCATTCATGTGTTTCTTGCTGATTTGTCTGACAGCACGATGTGCCTTCATATGATGATCATTCCCGCAACCACAAGCACTACACTGGCCACCTGATTGAAGCTGCTCACTTTGCCCATAGCCGCGCTGGTTGTGTCTTCCTGGTTCTCTTGATCGCTTCTCGGGATGCTGATGCCTGCTTATGCTTACCTCGAGGAGGTGCCTGTCGAGTCTGTGTGGCTGAGGTCCTGGAGCTGCGCATCATGCTGGAGGCCACAGCTAGAAGCCCCTCTGGTGTGAATCTGCTATCATGTGAATGCAGGAGGCGACAGCTGCAATTGCCCAAAGTCAAAACTCGTCACCATCAATGGCTGCCTGGTGGCAACCAGATGCAGACCGCTGAAGCTGCTAACAAGATTACTGTGGCTTTCTCGATCCCAGTCAGGTAGGCGAAAGCGGCGAAGATGAGGCCTGTGTAAGGCACAGCCACCTGAAGATGGTGCCTGAAGTGGTGTGCTCAGCAGTGCATGTGTGGAAGGAGCCGCAGGCAATTGATTCTAGCAGGACGGAATCTTTAACTATCCAATTCTTGATCCAAGCACTGCGAAAGTGTGCTTAAGCTCGAGGTGCTCAAGGACGGTGTGACTGCCTCTTGGCACAAGCCTACTACAGCATTGCAAAGCAATGCTACAGCACAGTACAGCTCCAGTTGTTCATCGCACACGTCTCGCACCTTTCACACGACTTGACGTTGCCACATGTCAAACTGCGCCACTGGCAGCACAAAGGCTCTAAAGCGCCCCAAATGATGCTCATGATGCTGACGCTGCACAGCGTTTAGAATTTGGAGCAGAGGAGAGGGGGAAGTGGCGTAGCCGCCCTCACTTCATGCTGGCCGGGGTTGGATCGTTGAAGGCCGAGCGCAGGGCCGGAGGAGCCGTACACTTTGCGCTCCCGCAAGCCGGGGTTCGGCGGACTTGTTGTATTTGGTACGAGTTTTAACCTTCAAGGAACCACGGATGCCGTCAGAAATCCCCAAACAAGCCGTGTGGAGCATCCTGCCACCCCCCCGCACGTGCTTTAACTCTTGCCTGTGGGAGACGGCTGGTTGGCAAGTTTCACGAGGCTAACCGGCTAGCCATAAGCTGTGTGAGAAGACCCATTAGAACGCTACAAGTGTACGAGTCGTGCCCATGACTAAGGCTTTCACTGACAGAAGCTGTGTGTACAAGAGCCTTGTCTGTCACATTCTGTGATGCGGGTTAAAGCTTGTTTTTTGCTCTGCTAGACAGTCGTGGCAAACTGAGGGGCGTCCCTCAGCAACTTACTGGGGCCACTCTATTCAGATCGCGGTATATCGTCCCTGAAGACACCGAGTTCACGGTGCAGGCGCCAGCCATCACAGTTTGACGACTACAGAGCCTTTGTCCGACACTTTGCAGGCACGAGCAGGATCGCCTGTCTATCTGTTTAGCGAGGCCTTCCGCCAGTGCTGCAGCTGCGTTGCACAGATCGTTCAGTCGTTTTGGTTGCATTAGGCCCACCGTGATGGTGGCTTTCCAATGCTCGGCTGGCAGCAAGAAGATGCTGGGCGTTTTCACTGGCAAGACTTGGACGGCAACCCGGCACCAGAAAGGGAGCGAGGATCATAGGAAATGCAAGAATGCATCCTAGAGGGGTAGAGTTTCGTGGACGTGTTAGCTTTGTGGTAGCTGCGCACAGGCAAAGCGTATGCACTGAACGTGTGGAAGAAGATTCATCCGGGCGTTGAAGACATGAAGATCCCGATCATGAATTCTCTGGTTGGTGGGATTGCAGTGCAGGCGGGTATTTTCAGTTGAACTGCAACAAGTTGTGTTAATTCAAAGTACGCTTGGCGAGGCCAGCCAGCAGACTGAGGCTGAGGCGGCAAAGGACGACACAAAAGCGAACCTGCTTCTGGACATGCTGAGGAAGACTCATGGTGGCAATGCCAGAGAAGTTCTGAGAGCCTTTGGGCAAGCCATTTTGCAGTGGCTGAGCGAGATGCAAGAGGAACTGCCAGTTCAGTGCTTGACACTGCTCGCTCCCATGCATGCGTTGGCGAATGGAAGCTTCCATGAAGAAGAGTTGCTATCGTATGCACAGACGGCCGTGGAAGCCTATGAGAGCCTCGAGCCCAACATCAAGATGGAAGTCCGGGACAGATTGCAAGACTTGTCAAAGATGCTGCGCTCACCGCAGCAAGTCCACCATGGAATAGTCTGCGATGGATGTCAGCAGACTCCCTTGCAGGGCAGGCGTTTCAAGTGTAAAGTGTGTCCAGACTACGACCTTTGCCAGACATGTCCGGGGCTCAGTTGCAGAACCATCCTGGAAGCAGCTTGTCACCAACAGTGCATGGGGTCAGCGGAGTCAAGATTGTTGCCCATCCGATGGCATCGAAGAAAACGGCTGCTTCCGCCTCCAAACCACAAAGCTGGAGCAGGCCTGTTGAGAAGAGCGAGTCAACACTGTAGCAATTTGTGCTGTCCGCTTTGTCATTTGTGGTTGGGGCCAACGATGTAGCACGAGCACGAGGCGAGCGCTGATGTGCGCTTGTCTGAACTACGTCGACGCATCAGGCGTTTGATCCGTTCAGGGGCCGGAAACCGGAGCGGTGTGGACACAAGCGGGGCCACAGCGCTGGCGAGAAACGTGTCACAAGACCTCCCGGTCTTGGGAAGCAGGGCCGAGGTGGACGGACTTCTTGCCTGAAAGACCACGATTTGTTCTGCCGAACTGCAACAAGCAGAGCATCATAACCATCGAATGAGGTCATCGTAGGGCGCAGCGCAATGTTGCACATGCTGCACAGCAAGAGCACTTACTAGCCACGGCTCACCTGAGGCTTGGAGAAGGATTGCCACCATGGACATGAGTTCGAAGAAGTGCCAGAATGCCGAGCTCCTGGCAATGTGTGTCCAACGTGGCAACCAACAGTTTATTGCGATGGATGTGACGCACACCCTCTGGAAGAAGCGAACCGTTACAAATGCACTATCTGTGAAGACTACGACCTTTGCAAGAACTGCTTCAGCTCCAGGCAGCATATCCATCCCGAGCATGACAGTTGGATGCACCAGGGCGCGCAAGTTGCAGAAGCTGCTCCTCCGAACATCCAGAGTTTGGACGCGAAGGCGTGTCATTCGAAAGAAACTTGGGCTAGCTGTGCAAGTCTCCTCTCATTATCTCTGGCAGCTAACACATGATAGTCGCACGAGCTCAGATTATGCGGTCGATAGTCAAGAAACGAGTGCTGTAATCAGAGAACTCAGCGGCCCCCTGTCGGTGTTGGGCTGCTGCCGGCATCAGTTTTCGTTTGCGTCAGTTTGCGTTCAATCCTGTAACTTGCCACCTTAAGAAGCCTGAGAATGCTACTCCGGTGCTGTATTGTCAACAAAAAACCGAATTCGACATGCTCCATACTGGAGGCATAACAGTCTTGGAAAGAACACAGAGCTTCCTCCTGCTCTGCAGGGTCGCTCACGAGAACCATGCGGATATCGAAAAGCTTTGTTTCCAACATGTCTATGCTGTTCGTTTCTTGGGCTTGCCTCTCTGTTTTGCTAGCCGGGTTTGCATTCTGATTAACTATGGTAACTATGGGCGTTGACTTCCGCATTTTTCCGAACCCGCCACAGGCCAGCATTACCGCCATGGCATCCCTGCTGCAGCACAGCGATCCAAAGGTGCGGGCAGCCGCCAACAACGCTCTAAGAAGCGCCGGAGCCACAAGCCTTGCCTCCGAGAAGGCCAGAAGAGAGCATCAATTTGATGGCAAGGACCTAGGCGGATGTCTGTCCAGGTGCAGGAGGACTCAGACATCAGTGATGGCTGGGAGAGGCAATCTGTTTGGGTGTTTGAGCTTGGCGCGTTGCCAACGTGGAACTTGGTGCAAGGTTGGACAGCCTCGATCAGGTGTCAGCGAAGGAGCGAGAATAGATGCAGTGACTGTAGTGATTGGGTAGTCCATTCCCTGCCCCCGGGAAGGTCGGGGGTAGAGCTAGAATCGCTCCTCCTCGACAGTCTAGCCTCGACAGCTAACCATTCCTGTCCATCCTGATACTCATAGCAACTCAACTCTGGGAGGTTTCTGGAGGCGAAACGGCGACGCCTGGGACTTCTTCTGTAGCGGTCGTCGCAGCCGTCGCAGTTGTCATCGTCGTCGTGTAGTGGTGGCAAAAGTAGTACTCGTCGTGCGAGCAGCAGTCGTCGTCGTCGTCATCGTGCTCGGGGGGAAGTTGTGGTAGTGATGGTAGTGGTAGTACTCGCTGTGTTGGTAGTACTAGTGGTACTAGTTAGGAGACCTAATCGTAGTACTACCTGGTAGCAGCTGTCGTAGCGGTAGCAGCAGTCGACGTTCAGTCAGCCAGGCAATAGCCGTCGATGGACTGTGCGCTTGTTGGCAAACTCGCGATCGGGGAGTGCACGGGATCCAAATGCACTAAACAGGAGGACTCTGTGTCAGACATCAATGATGGCTGGGACAGGCAATCTGCAGCAGTGTTCAAGGGCTGGCTTGCTTCAGCTGCACATTCTGCGCATCGAAGAATCTAAAGTTCTGTCGAAGGCTGGACAACGTGGATCAAGCCTCTGCAAAGGCGCGAAAATTGCTGCAGTGACCAAATCCCTCTCGATCCATGAGTTTCGAGCGGAGGTAATCCATGCCAGCGTCTTCGCCAACACCGCAGTTGTACGCCCGCTGAACCTGGAGATGATCCACCATCGCTGCAAGGCGCGCAGGGCACATCGCGCCTTCTTGCAGGATGCTGGAAACTCTCAGATTTGCAAATCTGAGGTCTCCCGCCTGGCACACCTGGAGATCGATCATACGGCCTCGATGGAGTCCAGAGCCATTGTGACCAGCTTAGTCTGTTTGTTGGGACGAATCAAACCGGGTCCGAAGCCGGAGATTGGCTGCGCCGTTAGGTGAAGGCGGTGGTCGTGAACGATGGCACAGAACCATGGCCAGAGGCACCGACACAACATCGAAAGCATCCTCAGTGCATTGCGTCGCCTTAGCCCGGACCAGGCCTCACTTTTAAAGCTCAGCGAGGGCCCTTCGTGTGGCTTCCGTGAACTTTCTCTTGGAGCGGTTCCACCCGGCGAGACGGTCACATGCTTCAATCTGGGACGATGCATGCGTGAGGGTTCTTGGATGTGTTGCTGAAGGTTGAGCTGGTACTGGACCTGAGCTTCCTACCGGGTCATGTGGGCGATCACGTCGTCTCAGTATGGTCCCTCGTCGACAGCAACGGGGAAGCTTTTGCTCCCCCAATGGTGGTCGAGGTGACGTTCTTCGGCCGCAAGATGCCAACCAGCTTAGGTTTTGTTACACCTGGAACCGGGAGTGCTAAGCTTGTTCCAGTGCCCCCACTCCACGCTGCCTTTTACGGCTCTTGGGCCTTTTGCACGTTGAGAAGAGTGCTACCTGAGCTGCAGGCGAACCTAGAGAACGGAGGGCAGCAGCATGGTCAGGCGGCTATTCGTCACGTGTGTCGAAATGTACAGAGACAACGTGGCTTTACATGGTGCCTTGCACCAATTGTACAAACTGGAGACTCCCATCCTCTGAGTGCTTGCTTGGGCCCTTTTCACTTGAAGCTCCACTCGCACTGACAGCTTGCGGAAGTGTTGAAGCGCAGAAAAGCGCGTGGATCCAGACTCCGCCGTTGAGATTCGTTCGGAAGCATTGATTTGGTCGTTCGCAGGAGTCCACTGGCCTGGACCTCGTCGTGCAGCCCTGAAACACCGCTCGCGATACGAGCCGACCCTGTGCCTCAGACGCCTCAGAGCTGCGAGGTCTCCGGCTTCGCTGTGACAGCCTCGCTTCACGAACAAGACGTAGCCTGGATTTGCTAGGGATTCATTGGGGGCATAGCTGAGGCCACGAGAGCCATGGGCCATTCTTCAGATATTGCCGAACGGAGCTCAGATCGCTGGGTTGCCGCCGCAGCACGCAGTGCAGATATGACATGATGCCAAAGATGTGAGCTCTCGCTGCCCTGTGCATGAAAAGCCGAATCTTGTTCGAGCGAAAGGACACGACTTCAGTTTGGTGTTACGGAAAGAAGGCGGCGAGTTGTCGAGCGCCTGAGATCTGCGCAGCCACAGCTGTCTGCCTCGCACCGAAACTAAAACTCAGGCTCTGAAGCTGCCAGACAGTGATGAGGCTTCCGAAGATTCCGTTGCACAAGCCCTACTCGATGAATTCAATCATTGAGCATCGTGTGTATGCTGCGTGCAAAGATATCAAAGACGAAACTGCTTCATCTGGTGAGGTTACCTTTGTACCATGCCAAGAACTTCAAGTCGGAGAGGGACCTGCCAGACAGGCTGCGGAGACTCTTCAACACGAATTCCTGCTGAGTCAACTCGAACAGGCTTCCCGCAGCATCGGGCGATCTTCGGTGCAGCTCTTACATGGCCATGCAGAGCAGGGACGAGTGAAAACGTTCTTGCAGCTGCAGGCCCTTTCACGAAGCTCTTCAATCGGGAGCCCCACGCATGACGAACTTGGAGACACCTCTGGCACCGCACAGATCTGTGCGACTGAGGTGCAGGCCAGGCAACTGCCCAATTTGTCGCTGGTCGTGTCGGTGATCAGCACAGTTGCTCTCGTGTCAATCTGAGGGTGAAGACTTCGTCCTTTGCCTTCATTTTCGAGACCTTAGCGGCGGATCAGAATGTTTTGGTGCCCTCGCCAGGTTTCTCTGCTGTTGTATGCTGTTGTCGAGACGGGTTTATCAAGAGGGATCATCTTCGTGGCATTGCACTGCCGCTGACATGCGCCCTCGATGTTGATGGGAATGTTTCTGTGGTTCAAACCTATCAGTTCTTACACATTCGTTAGTGCAGGAGAGGAGGCTGTAACGAGACCTGTCATTCTCGCACGTCTGCCTCCTACACCGGCTTGTCTTTCGATCGGTTCAGAAGTTGTGCGGCATGCAGATGTGACCGAGTCTTTCGCTGTTGTGTTCACAGTGTTGGGGTGAAGCCTGCCACAGGTGCCCATTTAGATTGATCGGTAATCTTCCGTGGTAGCATGCAGGGCATTGTTCCAACTGCAACTGCATGTGGAGTCTGGAAATGGAAAAGTCGCTGGCCAAAGGCTGGTCTTTGTTCGCTAGACTACGGAGTTGCATCTATTGCAGTTCTGGAGTCCTAAGAGTTTCTTGTGTGGCATAGTGGCTATGGTTACTTTGATTTGTCTATGCCA